CATGACAAATTGATCTTTATGTAAATATAGACACTAATGTGAGTGATGAATTCTGTTGCTAGGTTTTATCCGAAGATGATGATGAAACAGCCATTGCAACACTCCAAAGTGGTAAATTATTTGGTGAGGTAAGTCTTTTCTAATTTATTAACCAATGAGAATCATTTTGAGTGGACGTTGATATGTTTTACCGGTAGTTATAGAGAGAAATATTAAAAAATGAAAGTAGTTATTTGTATTCAAAATAAACAGATAGCATTTCTATTCTCAAGTTGATGGCAGTCTTCAATGGCAGTCTTCAACATTGTATGCCAGTCAAATTCTAATACTACTGTTTTTCTAATAATGAAATAATTAATAATTTAATATTAATTTTTTTGTAGGTGAGTTTAGTGTTCAGCATGCCCAGAACTCATGCAATTCGTGCTGCTGCTCACTGTGATTTAAAAGTACTCGACAAAAATGATCTTCAACAGGTGATATTGCATTATCCTGAAGGTAAGTTAGTATTTCATTTCTTGTGATGCGTAACTGAACCAAAAACATCTCTTCCATGGATACTGATTGAACCATCTACTTATTTTTACTTTAGTGGCTAGTACACTGCAGGAGATAGCTGAAAATCGCTGTGACACTGCTGGACATCTCCATGAAAGAGTTCAAGCTGGTGAAGGTGTCATTCCGGCTTCCAAGAGTCTAGGGAAGCCAGCTGTTGCTGCTCATGTACCAACAAGTAAGTTATGCTGATAATCACTTTCATATCATTCTTATAGTGTGGAAGCGAGTATTGTACCTTGATAATAGTTCACTTTGTTCATGACAACTAATTTAAAGATTTGGTAGCAAAGGTAGTAACATTTACAGATACAATAAACCGGATTTTATCCAATTCTTTATTGAAAATTGAAAATGTCACTTTGATTTGTAGGTTGGATTCAAAATGGCTGAATGGTGGCCATTTTGTTGTCTGCAATTCATTCTACAGTGATCACAAACTTCACACAATTTTAAAAGTGATAAAAATACATGAACATTTTGGAGCCAAATTTTGGCGTGAATGGACACATTTTTTTTTTCAGTCTTGTATTTAAATTAGTCATTATGGGACCTTTGTACACGTTACTTTTCGCAGATCTATTGTTTGCAATTTACTCTCCAGTGATCACACTTTTTCCACAGTATCAAGTTCAAGGCTGCTTCATTAATACATCACCTACTTTTTCTTATAGTTTACTGGCAATCACAGGCTAGGTGTTCTAGATTTTAACTATATTTTCAATGCCTAAATTATGAACAATTTCCTCACAGAGTCTACACAATCTCCTGGTAAGAAAGCATCACCTCAACGAGAAGCGAGAATCAGGACAACTGTTACTGTAACTAAATCTGTTGATGTATTTGAATTGGAGGAGCCAGGTAGTGAATGGGTTTCAGTTCATAAAGGAAATTGCTGCACTGTGAGTATTTTCACACAAACCACTTGGCTGTATGAGTGCCGTGGAGATCATGGTGGTCAAGAGTTCTTGTTGACCTTTCAGTGATTAAGTAGCAATTGAGTAGCTTATGTTGATGCTCTGAGAGTCTTTATTTTAACGTTTTTATATCTTTATGATAGTTTTGCAAAACGTTTCTGTTTCTGAAAGCCATGAATTTATAAACATTTATAAAACATTTATCCCTGGACGACCCCCTATTGTCATTGTTTTCAATAGCACAAGTAGTATCATCACTGCAGTTTGACACAGAATGTTTCAATTATAAAGCATGTTTATTTTCCGGTAACAGGGTAAACAAGTTTTCATGTCCAAAGTCACACTGGTATTCATCCATAAAGCATTGTAATTGCTTCAACTTTCTAAATTATATATTTATCAAAAATTATACAGAAAAAATGGCTTTCAGAAATGTTTTACACTGACGAGTAAATAAATATAAATAAATTAACAATCATAAAGTTCAGTTGTGTGAAACTTACAATTGTGCATAAATTTCCTTTTAATTATTTCTCATTTAAATTCTACAGCGAATGAGGAAGAGGTTGTCTGATTGGGTAGACAAGATACAAAATGGAGTGATTGAACCTAACTCCCACTTTTTTAAAGTTTGGCAACGATTAGTACTTATTGTAACGTTGCTGGTTTCTTTCATCTATTCCTACATGGCCTGTTTTACAGGTAATTATGATTCCTGCTTTTTTATATGTATTTTTTTTTTATTCGATGAAGTTGTTTATCTATGATCAGCCTTAACCATTACGCACTCATTCAACAATTATGTTGATTGACACATGCAAATACCATCTATTCCGTCATATATCTAACGAGAGTTCAAGTATAATAATGTTAATCGACACTGAGATTCTTTCTGTCCTATCATTTATCTAATAGGAATTATGTAAACCTCCAATTATAGAGATTTGTAAGCCCTCTGTTTTTGCAGCTCAACACTTTTGGCCTAGCATTGTTACAGAAGCCATGATTCACTTTATATGACTTGACACTGTATAATTAAGACGCTCATTTTCAATGTCCGTTTTTATTTCAGTCCAGTCCACATTACTAAGAATAATGACCAATGACAGCACTGAACTCCCATCATTGTCAAACAAAACTATTTACAATGGGATTATAATTTGTGAGTTTTTTCCTGAGATGTCATGAGTGATATAATATAACTAAGTATTAAACTCAAAACGTGCTGTACATTGTAACCATAATCTTTTTAGTTGCCAGGCTTATATGTGTGCTGCTTTCAACTTACATCATTTGACACTTTCCATATTTAGTTCTACTGAATCATGATGAATGATTCTTAGTTGAGTCAACCAACACTATTGACACTGGGTATATCTGTGCTGCTTTCAACTTATTCATCAACTGACACTTATTTTTGTATCAACTATTTGTATCAAAAAATCAGGAAACAATATAAAAAATAGAATGAAAATTTTTTTTCTTTCACTTTTGTGCTTGTATACTGAATTTCAGGTGACCATGAACACTTTTTTGATAATTTATAAAAACATTTATCTCGGAAGATGCTACATGTAAATCAGCAGGAGTTTTCATCAGTGAGAGAAAAGCTGCGTTGACGTGTCTGTTACCCATGAGTCTCGACATCTTTCTCTCAGTCACAGCCAATTTATGCTGAACATAGATCTCAGCAAATGTATTCAAACTAATTTTTAGCGGACATATATTTAGTATTTAGCAAGTACCGGTAGTATCATCACTGCAGTTTGATTCACACCTATTCTTTTATACAATGAATCACGTTACCCCTCGGTTAAAGGTCACATTATCCATTGCGAAATTCTATACAGGCAGTATTTATCAGTATTTATGATTGGCACACATTGTTTTCAATTGTCATTTAAGATTTATAATTTGTTTTATAAAAATGTTTATGGTTTTCTGAAATTGAGTGTATGTGTTTACAGCTAAAATAGGATGCACATGTTGTTACTAGACTAAACTTTGCATATTATTCTAATTACAGGTTGGTCTTGGATTTGATGAAACTATTATGTGTAACCTTTTCTCAGTTTTGACGTGTTATAATCCTACTTTAATACTATGTCAGTTTAGCACTCTTTGGCTTTGTTACCCATATGTTGGAATCGATTTATATTTTTAACCTAGCTAGGGGACCTTTTCGGGACATTCAGTTTGTTAAATTACCATAGATCAGTTATGTTTTATAGTTTCAAAGTTCCCACATGCGATTCACCCACATGCCCATGTAGATTGTTCAATGTCCACAAGACAGCTTAGGATAGAACCATTAAAGATCGTTGTTGATGGCACCTCAATCTGATTAAAATCTGATGTACTAGTATGTAGTATTCATTCACTTTTACTTCTGACTGGATTAGCAACCAATTAGAATTCATAAGACTAACTCTAATTGGTTGGCAAATCCCATTCATGGTCATTAAGATCTTGTCTCCTGGATGAAAATTTATTTTAAACAAAATGCATTATGGGTAATAATGCCAGAAAGTGTATATATAAATAACACAATATATATATGATGCAGATGATTAAAATCAGTCATAAATTATGTTGCCTAACATGACTAACTGAGTAGTGTTATTTACTCATCCCATGTGTGTATTGTATCTAATGATGTCATTTCACTTCACTGATCAATGACAGTTAATCATATTTAATATGATCCTACTAATATTTCAATTGCAGCTAACCAGCATACTTCTGGCTATGGTGACTCCCACGGTGCTACAGCTTTGCTTGTTATTTCATATTTTCTGGATGCTATACTCGCTGCAGATATTGTCGTCAAGCTACGTACTGGAGTAGCTACGCCAAATGGTGAGTGCATGCGTTGATTTTCTTCTATCGGCTAAAAAAAACAAAGTTTCAATGATTCATCTCATGTCATAAGCTATTGACTGTTTTTTTGTGTGTTTTTTTGTAGGTAACCTGAAAGATTTTGCTAGTATTCGCAAACATTACTGTAGAAGTTGTGGCTTTGTTTTGGATATCCTGGCAATATTACCCTTGGAGCTTTTGTGTTTTGTACAACCATTTGGATATGGACGATGGCATCTGTATTCATTTCTCAGACTCAATAGGATTGTCAAGTATTACATTGTGAGTATATTAACCAAAGGCCTTACAGACAAATTGTTCGAAAGAGCCACATGCAACTTGTTTTTTATTTCCCCCAAATAGCATTCCATTCTTCCCTTTTGGTATTCCAAACAGTGAACATGATGGCAGCAGAGAAGAGGGCTTGGGTTGGAATCTGAATATCAAAATATATGTTCAGCCAAATTTATGTTTTGTCTTTGTCAGGTACCTGGATTTTTCTCCAAGCTAGAAGATGACCTAGATGTAGATATCGCTACCATTCGATTTTTTAAGTTCTTCATTTTCATATCTCTACTATCGCATTGGAGTGCCTGTATATGGTACCTGTCTGCTTGCCATGCCGCTGTGTAAGTATTACTTTCATACCAAACATG